TGCTAGACAGTGACAGTTTCTCATGAAACAAGAACAGCAAAACTTCAGCAGATGAGAAGACAGAATCGCCAGCAGCTCTGGGATGTAAACCCAAGTTCCTGCTTTCTATTTCTTTGCTCTGTTTTTCAGAACTACATAAGAAAAAGTGGTATTAGAATATTCCTACATTTTAGACAAAACCTCTTTGAATTCTTACTACTAGATTCTACTTGAAGAAATGGGAGAAAGAGTAAGAGGAGACAAAACACATTACACTTGTAGACTTCACTACCATAGTTGGCAGCTACTTTTTTCCTAAACTAAAAATCTGATTAGATCCAATCTAGGAACTAAAAGATCAAAAAAGATAGGACAGCTGCTTTAAAAAATCCCAGTTTTCTCAACCAAGTAGAACCCATGGGTAGATGTTAAATTATTAAAACAACCTATGAGCTTAGAAAATTGAAAGTAACTTCTTTATTAAGAAAATAAAGACATGTTGCTTAGGGTAAGGAGCAAAAATGACCAGTTATTAGGATAGTGAGTAAAAAAAGATGTCTTATGTATCTGTATGTCTATCACAGACAAACGACTATTTCTCTTCTCTCTCAGAAAATGTATAGTTTTAAYATTAAAAACAAAAATTGAGCTTTTTAAATAGAAAATCAAATCCTATCAGAATTACATGAAGTCAGTCATTTTTAAAAATTTTTTTAGTTGTAGGTGGACCCGAGACCTTTATTTATTTATTTTTATTTGGTGCTGAGGATTGCACCCAGTGCCTCACATGTGCCAGGTGAGCGCTGTTCCACTGAGCCACAACCTCAGCCTGAAGTCAGCCATTTTTTTAGATGCTGATTTAGGATCCCCACCATRATATTTGATGATCAACAAGGCCACMTGTCTGCTAAGGACATCCTATAGAGRTGACTAAAGAGTGCCTGAGCTCACAGTCCAGGAATTATTGGAAGGAAAGAGTGACAGATTACAAGAGGAAGGAGCATGAACCAACACAAATGAGAAGTCAGGATTTCATTGTAGGAAAAGGTGAAAAGAGGATCAATGCTTCTGAAAGAGAACTAAAGGTAGCTTTCTGAGCAACAGGGGAGTGAGAGTGCTCAGTTCTGTGAGGTCTGGAAGCCATCTCTACCTGGAGCTTCCCAGCGGAAGCCAGGGCACTGACAATGGGACATCTAAAAATAAGCCATGATCACCGCAAAGAGAATGAGGGCCAGCATGAACCTGCCCACGGTCACTGCCGAAGCTGCGGAATCACTCTTCTCCATCACCCTTGTCTTCATGGGCTTCCTGATACGGTCATCTGTGGAAAGGATGGTTTYTCGAGCCCCATCCCACTTTCCAGGGCCCTGTAGACGAAACTGGGCTGGAGTACAAGGTCCCAAAAGTAACTGTAATGCTAGCTTGGAGTCAGTGAAGGCCAGAGACAGTAGACTAGGCCTGACTCCCACCAARTCAGCAATCTCTTCCATGCTATCAATGTAGTCTCCCTGAATGGTATGGCGTTGGCTTTCCAYGTACCTAAATCAGAGAAGACAGAAGCCATGGCCTATCAAAAAGGCGATTAACTAGTCRATCAATCAACATACATATTGTATTGATTTTATACTGGGCACATTGTACTGATTTAAAAAAATTTGTTTTACTTGTTGATGAACCTTTATTCATTTATTTATATGTGGTGCTGAGATTTGAACCCAGTGCCTCATACATGCTTGGCAAGTGCTGTACCACTGAGCCACAGCCTCAGCTTGKATTGATTTTAAATTAGGCTACAAACTGTAGTAAATAGTGAAAAAAGATATTTGTCACCATTCTTAGAGATCTGATAATACACCATCAGAGATAAGATTGTTGTATACRTAACAGAACATACAAGGGTTTTGCTAAATATTGTGGGTTTGACTGTTAAATAGAAATTTTAAAAAGGGTAGTTAAAAAAGGGCTACAGGGCTGGGGATGTGGCTCAAGCGGTAGCAC